CACATAAGCCAGGGGCTTAAAAAAAAAACAAAAAAAAAAGCAAAACAAGGCTCCCCCGAACACGGTAGGTGTGCTATACACGGAATGTGTTCGATTCGTCAAAAAAAAAAAAAAAAAAAGTTAAGTGTAGGCCCTGTAGGGTTTAAAGTTTAAACCTAGGAAGATTTTCATGACCGGGGCGTGACACCCGGGATACCCGGACATGGAGGGGGGGGGGATTTTTTTTTTTTTTAAATGGCGGCGGGGGTTTTCCGCGCCGTCTGAGAGGAGCCCAAATCCGGGCTCTTTTCTTTTTTTGAGTGTTGGCTGTCAAGGGGGGGCTAAACTTGCCACTAAAGGGGGTTAAAGGGGGGTGCCTTAGTGTGATTTGGTTATTTTCTTTTTTATTTTTATCTTCAGTTTCGAGAGGAACTCTGATGTGATCCTCAGACAAAAGTTGTTTGTATTGAACTTCTAGTCTTCTACACAAAATATTTTGTTTTCCAGACTTCTTTGGAAATTTTTTATTTTTATTTTTTTTTGCGCTGGGGCTGCTCGCGAACGTGTTCGGGAACTTTTTTTCATAAAAAAAAAAATTAAAAAAAATCGTTTTTTTCGGTTTTTGATTTTTAACTCACGTTTGGCCTTGAATCTGAACATGACTCCAAGGCAAAAGTTGCTTGTATTGTTGTTTTACATGACAAAGGCCCGCTGACTTTGAGAGTACAGAAATCTAATTTTAGCCCTTGATGAAATTACTTTGCTGGTCGATCATAAATGATTGATAATTAATAAATTAAATAAATTAAATTAATAAATAAATAAATGAATAAATGAATGTATTAATATTATATAATATTGAATTATTGATTTATTAATACTCATGTTCCTTGTCCTCATTGACATGCCCGTCCCTCTCGTCGACGTGGAGTGCGGCCGTGTTTGTGTAGGTGGATGGCGACACGAGCACGAACGATTCCGTAATTGCACTTGCTAGCGGAGCAGCTGGAGGTTCAGTGATTCTCAAAGTGAATAGTAAAGAGGCGCAGCAGCTGCAGATGGCCTTGGATGCGGTACCCTCGCTTTGCCGTATTTCCTCCCTGTTTGTATCCATCCGGATTGTTGAGGGAAAAAAATATTGCCAGATTATTGTGGATATGTTATATTTTTTTAAGTTTTATAACTGTTTACACTGGGCCCTGATAATGAAAGAAAGGTTCTGTTACTAATAAAAAAAAAAAAAAAAAAAAAAAAAAAAAAAGTTTATCCCATTCCCAACCCTATCCATTTATCGGGATAGGTGAGCATGAGGACATAATTATTAATTTGTTTATCTCAATCCTTTTTTCTTTTTTCTTTTTTGACCAACATCTAGCTTCCAGAGGGGGTGATATGAGCACCTCCCTCTAGCTCCCTGTCGCTGGTTTCTCCGGTCTATTGGAGGGGAGCGGCGCCTGCTGGAAGTCGGGTCCAGCGTCGCATACGCATCCTCTTGATCCCAACACCGGGGCCCGCATCAGGTGCAACCCTCGAGTTCTGAGGCGGTAAGAGCGCACTCAGGATTGGGGTGTCGCAATGGCAGACAGCTCTTGTCTATCGGTGGGGAGGAACACCGATGTATCTGACGTGTGCACAAGGACTATGTCTTTTGCAGTTTTTTTCTAAATCCGAGAGCACATCGCCCAGGGGCGAACTTGAGAATTGAAATCGAGGCAATCTGAAAATTTTGGCGCCTTGGGGCGGCTACCTGACCAAAAAGACTGGTGGCGCCAGCCAAACGGAAAGAAAAAGTGTTGCGCTGGCGTTTCCGCAAAGCTTGGCGCACGGAGGGAATCTGCATCGGAAGCCGCCTTTCTCCGAGGCGGCAGCTGCTTTGTGTGCCGCGAGCGCGAGTTTTGGGGGTCAACCGACCCACAGGAGCAAAATGGATGACAGCACCAATCAACCCAAAGGAGGCCCGCAATGCTCAGTTTTTTTCCCGGCGTGCAGTGTATTTCCAGGCTCGGCAAGGATCTGGATTGAAGCCTATTACACAGTCTTCCCCAGAGGAAAGAAAAAACCACCCTTATTGTGACCGTATGGGACTGCAAAGATAGGTTGTATACATCGATGATCAAACACCCTTATCATGACCGTATGCGACTCTGCCGAGATAGGTTGTATTTTGGGTCAAGACTCAAAAAGTACTGCTGGTGGTTTAAACCCTAAAGCAGTACGCCCGGGCCCGGCGGCGATCCCCTGCGCACCACTCAAAAAGTACTGCTGGTGGTTTAAACCCTAAAGCAGTACGCCCGGGCCGGGCCGCGATCCACTGCGCACCAAGCTTTACCGAACAGCGAGCCAGCAGCGCACTTTTTTTGTCTTTGTTTGGCTGGCGCTGCCAGCGGTTGCGGTCCGGCAGCCCCCAGCGTCCGAAATTTCCATCGGCGATGAAAGATTTCTCCACAAGGCCGCGGCCGCATACTCGTGGGCGAAGCTCCTCAAGTCTTACGGAACTTTTACCAGTGTCTTAGAATTTTTCTGAAAGTCACAAAAAATGCATTGCCAATTTTTTCAAATTCGATTTTCGTCTGTGTGATTTATTTTATTTTATTTTTTATTTTTTATTTTTTTTAATAAAGAAAGCAACTTTCAATGAAAACCGGGAAGCGGGTCCGCCGTCCCTCACATGAATGCTGTGGCTGCATGGGACTGAGAAAGGCACTCCCGGCCAGTGTCCCATCCCCAACCACAGTCATCCAGCCGCTGAGTGTGTGTCTGTGTGATTTAAAATTTTAAGTTATGTCATTTATAATTTATTAATTTTATAAATTTATAGATTAAATAATAAATTAATATATATCGTCAAATTTTTTTGCAGGTTTGTCAAGGTCTCGCAAAGTCGATTGCATCGGATGGAGAGGGTGCGACTGTTTTGATGGAGGTAAGGCCACTTCCCCTTTTTTTTTTTTTTTTTGGTAAATAATAACAAAGGGGGCATGGGGAGAGCGGGGAGGGTGGAGAGGGTGGAGAGGGTGGAGAAGGTGGGGAGTGTGGGTAGTGTGGGGGGAAGGGGGGAAAGGGGGAAGGGGGAAAGGGGGAAGGGGGAGAGGGAGGGAGTTGAATAGAGGATCAGATGAGTGAAACGGTTTTCACCTTTTAGCAGTAGCGGATGCAGTACCCAGGGTTCGATCCCTAGACCTCACCCTACCCATGTACAGTATCTGTGTAGATCCCG